CACTTTTTCTGTGAACTAAATTTAATTAAAAATGGTGCAGAAGTTACTTATGCTTAACCGTATTATATATTTTTACTAAAAGTATTGCAAAAAATTGAAAGAATCTCTTAAACTGATATATAAATCAGTTCAAAATATTATCACAGACTTATCATAAAAATATAAATGATACTTGATATGCCCAGAAGATTCTTTATAACAAAATTAACTGCCTACCGCTTTTTTACATTTAGATTTCATATACCCCACAAATTTCTCGACTGCGCCTTCCTTTCCATAAGACTGTTTTCTATCTAATCTCTAGTCTGCTCTAATCTAATCTCTACTCTGTAAATTTACTATTAAACATATCAATACGTTTGGTATTCAATTTGACACGCTACGAGAGGCTGTTGTTGAGAGTTGTAAAGAATAGCTTTTTAATAGTTGTTGCTAAATCAATATGTATAGATAGATCTAATCCTAAGAATATGACGTCACTTTTGATTAAGTGTTTTTCATAATTTTTTATCAATTGCGTTTTACACACAGCAGCACGTTGCGGTACCACAATATCTTAATGTTTTGCAAGTGATTTTTAACTATACACTGAATACATTAAAGATTAAAACATGCGAAGAAATTTGAGAGGATTGTATATACTAACGTGCTTTTAACAGTACATGAGGTGTAACTGTTTTATGCTTCATCACCAACCTATTAATGTCCTCCCCATTGCTGGGGCTCAGGCCTTCCCTGTGGATGGAATCGAATTGGTGGGTATTAACGACTTCCGAAGCACGGAGGGGTAATAGATAGTAAATTTGTGATAACCCATCCTATAACCGGTCATTGCGAATGTTGCTTAATAACGGTATCGCAGACCGAGCGCGCTAGCTACTGCGCCATCTAACTCCTCCATTTAATGCTTGATGACATTAAAGTTACTTTTTGTTTTAAATCTAATAAATCAATAAATGAAATATCAGCGTTAATATCTCTTTACAGTGAAACAAAATTAAACCTTTGCAATCCAAAAATAGAGTGGCATCTATTTAAAGTAACATATTTAATATTTGGTTACTTTCATCTATTATATCAGTTATTAAGACATTAATTATGTAACAAGGCAAGCACCATACAGTATATTTAAGACTAACGGCCAGTTGCACAACCGTCCATTAAGGTTTAATGACGCCTTTAAGCTCTAATGAATGTCGAATTCGTATGGGTAATGTCGCTTTAAAGTAATGAACATTTTAATGAACGTTTGTGCAATTGGCTGTATGTCGATTATGTCAGACTAAAAATATTTCTCATTTATAGACATTTCTTGTAAGACTTTGTCTTCGCTGAAATTAAGTTCGGTTTGAACCATTCATTAAACTTTGGGGCGCGATAAGAATTTTGAGGCAGCTCATATGATTATCTAAGTTATTTTGAGTTCGTAATATAACTCCAAACGAAATTAGTTGTGGTTACATGTTGGGCGCCATTGTAATAAACTTTGACTTTGAAAACGTCGATTTCTCTAGTAAAAATATTGTTTCTTGTGTAAACTTCTCTGATCACCTAAAAGTTATATCAAAAAATTCAATGCAAGATTATTTTTGGATGAAAAATAAAATAAGTATTTTATAAGGTTTTTATTTTTGGGATAAATATGATTTATGTGTTTGTATATCAATTTAAATTAAATATCGAGCACTAAAGTTACTCAATTTATAAGAATTAATATTAAAAAAATGTTCACCTGTCGTGATTTAAATATATTTAATTACATTAAAAAAGTTAATTACATATTTCATAATAAATAACGTCGTTTTGTTATAGGATAAAAATATATTTGATAAAATAATACATCCAAGACTTTTATAAGATAAATTTAAAAATATCTAAACTTCTTGGTATACATTTTACTCGATGAATTATCTATAAATCTCTGTCCCACTCAGGTGAAATGACATTCTAACAATATGGCGCTGACTCAGTGAGTCCAATTATCTCAATGTTGCCTCATTAAATCTCCTTTAACAAATATCTATAAAAATTAAAATTAAAAATTTGTACTAATGCACTGTTTAAAAAAATCAGTCTAGAACTCGATGATGACGACATTTAGCGCTAACATAGCTGATGGCATAATTGCTACCTACGAAAAAAAATGTAACAAAAATTTCTAGCTTAAGTTTATTTCAGAAAATGCTTGGAATACTCTTTACAAATCACTAGAAATATTGAGCAATTGTTACCGAAGATTCTGCATTCAATAAGTTCTAAAGGGATAAGTCTTATGAGTTTTTCGAACCAGATCTGTACTAACGTTTATCACACTCAACGCCAATCTGAAAAGAATATCACCGTAACATGCCGTAATATAGTTATTCCGCGAGCTTATTCCCTCAGAAATGAACATACACTTACATCGACATCGAGGGAAAAAGGTTGACCACCACAGCAAAATTCAATGACAAATTGAACTGAAAATTTCAAAAAGAAAAAGGTTGCATAGAAAGTTACCTAACTTTTCAAATAAAGTCAATATGAATCTAAACAAAAAAACTTCGCGAATTTTACATATACCAATTACTTAATGAGTTGCAATTTTATTAAAAAAAAAACATCAGCAGTAGATAAACATTATTAAGTACTTCAATAAATTCCTGTGCCGAAAGTCATAGACACCGGGTCCGTTAATAACCTTGGAATATTTATTTCTGACGCAAGGGAGCCGACATAAAACATAGATGAGACTTGGAAGGCCTCTTTCTTCACCAAATGGCCTTTTGTCTGTATTCCAGTGGCTTATTATTTTAAATAAAGAAAAAATGTAACTTGTTTATCGCTCAAAGTCTTATGATTCAATTTTTTAGCTCATTATTTTTCGGAATCTTTACATACATTTCAAATACGACATATATATGTATGTATACCTATCCACAGCAAATGTATATTTAATCGAACTCGTCGACAATTCAGTGGGCACAACGGAACATCATTAGACATGTTTAAATCATTGTTATTACGCCACCGCTGAAGTCAGTCTAAATAACACCTTGACATTCATTAGATTTGTAGTCTACTCATTAATTATTACTAATAAAAAATATATACGTAGTTTTTATCAGACTTTGTTAAAACATCGTTTTGACAGGTAGCCCTCATTTTTCAATTTTACCAAAATGCAGACTTCCATTACTTAACATGTGCTGTACTAAATCAAATGCAAATTACACTTTCGTTATCGCAGTTTATTAGGAGTATATTCGTTTTAATCGGAATTAATTTAAGGCCCTTTTGAATTTTAAACATTTATTTAAAATAAATATTACAGTATATTATCGTAGAGGGAAACAAGTCCCTCGCTCCCTTAAGGGAGTTTTGTCCTTAGTTGGGATTACTTGCTTTTTCACACGCGATTTATGCGAAGGGTAAACGTAAAAGACGGATTTAGCGCTTCCGACCTGTCACTCACTTCGGTATTGATATATTTTTATAAATATATCAACACCGTGTACATACAGTGTGTCTCCCTAACTATCGATCTCATTTATATGTGGCAGTCAACTGGTTAAAACAGCCGTTCAATTAGGCGGCATGCAATTTAATCGAATGGTGCCATTCAATTGCACGCCTAGCTTTCTAGTTGAATCATTATGACATTTAGACCATTCAACAGACGACTGTTTAAAAAGCCGACAAAAAGTTCATTACTTTTTGTTATCTGTTAAAAAAATTACCTCACAATTTAAGACGATCGCTACCCCATGCATCGCGGTTTTAGTATTAAGAATTTATTATGAAAGTTTAAAGCCTGTAACCTGTAACGCAAGTGGGTTAACCACTTGCGTTACAGGTGTACGTACGTTAGCTTCCTGTATTGGAGCAGTTTGTTTGTTATTATCTTTTTGATCATTCCTGTATCTGTATCGATTACAGATCGTAACAAAGTTTTTGAATCTTAAATAAAATGACCCACTACAATATGTATTTTTTTTTTTACTTTTTATCCTACCAATATACTTTGGTATTCCGGATGAATTGACAGTTAATTAGTTGTCTGACATCTTTTCACACATATTACAATATGTGTGTAAAACGGTTGTTGTTAAATAAAACATTGCCTGTTAATTGAATGGCGGCATTCAATTGAAGGGCTAGCCGCCCAAGTTTTCGGCTGATTATACCACTTGGCTGCGACATATACATCGTATGCGTTTTTTTATTTATTCTATAAACTATAATACCTCTTTATCTAAACGTTTTCATTTTTTGCCATAACAATCTTGTGTAACATTTTTAATCCAATTATTTCTTACTAGCTATTTTCCCTCGGCTTTGCCCGCGTAAATTAAAATAGTCTATGTCACTATGTAAACCTAAGCCTAAGCGACTTATGATGTAGCCTCCCCTAGGTCAAAGAATTTTCAAAATCGGTTCAGTAATTTTAAAGCCTATGCAATTAAAAAAATAAATAAATAACTTTCTTATTTAGAGTATCAATACTGTTTAATTTATACATAAATTGGTTTCTAAAGTAATGAAAGGTAAAAGATACTTTGTAAAAATAATAAATTGCAAAAATTAATCCATCATTTGGTAAATAGAATTTCGTTATCTGAAACTAAAAATTCTTAATAATTTGGTTACTTATCGTGCACTTATAAAATATTAAATTAGATTTAGTTGATAGGTATTTGAATCACCAACCAAAGTTACTATTTCGTCGGGGTTATGTACTGTGACTTTGTTTCATGTATTAATAGTTATGTGTTTTTTGAACATAATCATTGCTAACTGAAATACAATATAAAACTAATGCTGTTGACAAATTATTTGCAAAGTGGCTGCAGATGCTGAAGTAACACGAATGATCTACTCTTGTAAAGGGCTATTAACTTTATAAATGACCGAAGCAAAACCTCAGTTCTTTCAACAAGTCACGTCCCACTTAATAATCGTCAAAGTTGTCACTGCATCCAAGCGTCTAATTATAGGAAAAAAAAAAAAGAATACTTCACTCTACAACTAAAAGCCGTTAGAAAATTAAAAACAAAACGTAGCACAGACCAATAACATGTAATAATATACGAAACGCGATAAGTCTGACCATGGAGGTTTGATCGCAAACGCGACCTTTTCGAGTGGTGCCGCGGCGCGTACTGGTCCAATTTCATATATATGTGTAGTTATTATGGCGGGATGTAAACTGCTATCTGTCAGGGAAATTGATAAACGGTTAATCAATGTTATTATTGCGAAAAATAAATCCTTGTCCGTTAGTAGTTTGCCTAAATATCAAACGTTGTTAACGCTTAATGTAGTCATATTAAGCACTAGACTAGACTTTTTAATACAACCTATATAGAAGCTCTTTCCTGCTATGCTATTCTGTTAAAAAAAAACCTAAAACGCGACGTTGAGCTCAGCGCTGTGCATTTAATGAAACTTAATTAAAATTTTCGTAACTGCTTTGTTTGTTTGAATCCGATTTTTTTATCATATTTTAATTTAATCCAAATTAATATTATTCATAAAACTATAACTATAAAAATATTTGACAAAATATGTATAAATAATAAAAAAAAAATCATAATATTAACATATTTATAAATGTAAATTTACAATATGGCAAGACAAGAAGACATCTAGATCTCTAGTGACGCCTCAGTGGCGTCAGCGGAGCCTCTTCCAATTATAGTGCTATATTTAAGGCTTCGCCAAATAGCAGATCATGTTGTTGAAATGAAAACATGCATACCAAAGTTATCGCGCCAGGACGATCTTTTAAGGTTCTGTCAAAAAGAGAGTATAGTATGTTGGTTGCATGTTCTTTTATAGTAGAAAGTACATACTATGTTGAAATAGTATAAGTACTATTGTTAGATCATATAACAGTATGATTATAAGTTAGATATGTCTTTGCTTTATTTATGAAGCCCTAACCTTTTCTAAAACTTGTCTATATTCATTACGGGTCACTCATTAAAAACTGTAGATGAAATTCATTGAATGTGATATTGACAGCTTAACGGACAACATACAAATATCTAACAATGACTTAACGATTATATCAAACTGTAACATCGATAACGTTATCTCAGGTAAACTTTGACACAGACATGTTATTACTGACAGAATGCAGATTAACAATAAATAAACCAATTCCACATATTCTACATTACAATTCTATTGTTTGAACGCACAACCTTAATGAAAATAATGTAACGGTGACCTATGTGAAAACTAGTTTACGTCCTTGTATGCAGGAAATACATCTCGAACACGCGTCATGTTAACAAATTGAAATAAACGACCATACCATAATGGCAATTTACCAATCACATTCTAACCTGCAGAGCGATTCTGTAAATCACGTCATTTGGTGAAGATATTATTGATTCCATTTTTTGGTATGAAAATATAAAACCAAATTGATTGATCATACGTGCCTCATCTATAGTATTCCTATTTCATTTGAAACGTTATTACCGATTCAAGATTGAGCGGAGGCCGCTTTTTGAAGTGAATTCGTTCACCTGAGTGAATTCGAATTCGGGATTTTTTATAGAATCGCAGGTCTGAACGCATTATAGATATTATTGATTCCATTGATGATTATATTACTCCTAGTAGGTCATGTAAGAACATAATCATCGCTCGGGATATTAATATAAAATTAAATGAAATATCTTATTATCTATTCAAGTAAGCTTATTACAAGCACTTTTGCATCGTCCAAAAATTTTTATTCCCCTACCACTTGTTCAGGACATCTTTTAGCTGACAAGAAGAACAAGTGAAAGAAACTTACCAGCTCTTTATCATAAGTAATGACATTTACATCATCATCATCATTATCATCATCAGCCCTTTTACGTCCCCACTGCAGGGGTTCAGGCCTTCCTTATAGATGGTTAAGGAGGATGGGCCATGACTCTCCACGCTGGCCCAATGCGGATTGAAGGGTATTAACGACTGCAAATGCAGACGGGACCAACGGCTAAACGTGCCTTCCGAAGCACGGAGTAGCTCGAGATGATAATTTTTGGTCACCCATCCCGTGACCGAGCCTTGCGAAAGTTGCTTAACGACAATGATCGCGGGCCGCGGCGCTTATCCACTATCCACATAAATCATGTAATTACCAAAATAGTACGTATTATCATGATTATAAATAAACTTTCAACAATAGGGTCAAGTATTTAAACATGATTGCATCGCAAGGATTATCTACTCATTTTTTTCCAACAAGAAGCTCTATTCATCTGGATCATGTCTTATTAAAAAAGAAACAAAGAAAAAATATCAGCTAATGTGGCCGTACTGAATATTACAGTTACCGATCACTATAGAGTTTTTCTGCATTTAGGTAAAGTCAAAAGTGAAAAATTCAGATCAAATAAAATCATACAATTAATATTTATGAGAAAGCCTTGTTATGATTAGAAATCTACCATCTTTGCTCTATAGTGCTTCTAAAAATAAGTTTTTAGAAGGGAACACAGATATTTGTATTAAGTTATGTATTGCAAACCATATAGATTCGCCACGGAGAAACTCTACGAAATGTGTCAATTGTTGTCTGTAATTTACTAATACTTGAACTACATAAGACATTGCAATTTCAACCAAACTTGTCAAACAATTGAAGGAACGATAACGTTGCTTTAAAACCATTATATTTATCCTTTAAAACGGGCTTTGTGAAGCGACAAAATGTTGCACTTTAATATATGAAATTAATTAATAAAGTTGGCAATTACATATTAAAAACATAAAATTGTAAAAAGGTTCTAACAGTTTGGCTGCTCCCTTTAAGATATAATAAAATAATAATTCTTGTAAAGTAAATAAAAATAAAAACATAGAATTAAAATAATATTGAAGTATATACATATAAGTATTTATACAAATCAACAAATACACACACACACACATCTAATAATCCGACAACTTCTATGTGTACCCTTTAACTTCTTAATGAATAAACATTTTTTTCTTAAGAAAGTACCAAGTTTAAAACACTGTGCCCAAGTTGAAAAACAATAACCAAAACGTAAAAAAATATAAAAACATCAATAAAACAAAAAGATATAGACTGAGACGTACAGAAATATATATATCAAGATTGAAAGGCCTATAGGTATAACAATTTATTGCTGTGGATTTGCGTGCCATAAAACGTCAAAAACATTTATTTAATTAATTACATACAAACCATTACTATAATAATGGTTAGTTTGTAACCAAGGGTTATTTATTTTATCAGTTCGCACTAACTATAGTACTACACTAACTATATAGTTATTAGTGAACGTTATGATTCTTTAACAACTTTGAATTAAATAGAAATAATTAGATTGAACTGAATTTTATTGTATGTTAAGTAATCGATATATTTAATATTATAGGGAGTATTTATATATATTTTATTCGTTATGATCCTTAGTTAGCAATGCACTTATTCTTACGTTATTTCTATGATCGAAAGCGTTTCTGGACGACCCATTTCGGAAGGACGTTTTACAGTTCTGTTGTAGCTCTTTTCGTGTTGAGAATAAGCTAAAACGGTTTCCTTATAGCACCACTTTTGTTTTTGGGGATAACCAAATGTCACATGGTGTTAAATCCGGAGAATAAAGCGGGTGTGTACAGACTGTTATTTTTTTTAACTGGCACTTAACCTATTACCTAACCAACTGACTGGTAACTTGGTAGCCGTATCGTAGCATAGCGTGTGGTCGTGATGAAAAGGAAATTGTTGCTGTCATGGGTCACTTTTCCATATTGTGACGAAAATGTTGTAATAAATACTTGTTACTGTTTTTTGCTACTATTTTTGCCACTATTTCCACGATTTCATAGGTTTTTGAGGCCAGAGGACGTGACGACCTTTGCTCGTCTTCAAGCGATGCATTCCCATGTTTATACCACTTGCAAAACCAAATTATTGACAATTTTTTTTTTATTATTAATTGACTTTCTTTGGCATTTTTATGCAACTTAAAACAACATTATGTTCAAAGTAATGGGTTACCCGAAATATCATAATACGCAGAAAGTACGCGACAATCACACACATCAAACACAACCTCATTCTTCTGGGCCTAAAAACTGAAAGACAATTCGTAACTTATTCAACTTTTTTACAGAGTATTTCAATGAGTCAAACTATCTTATTAATTGAAATGGAAGTATAATAATAATTTATTTCGCCTGAATGTGGTACAGTAAGTTCTTATAGGTTTAAAAGGTTTCCAATTGACACATTCGCCCACTTGTGGGCATGCAAAGTAATTTATAAAACATTAATTAATCTTATTATAGTCTCAAGACGAAAGTCTTCAATTCATGCGTATTGCAGTGATGACATACGGTACTGAGACGTGGCCGCTTACGATGGGCCTTATAAGGAAGCTCAAAGTCACTCAGAGGGTAATGGAAAGGGCTATGCTCGGAGTTTCTTTGCGAGATCGAATCAGAAATCATGATCTCCGCAGAAGAACGAAAGTTACCGACATAGCCCAAAGAATTGCGAACCTCAAGTGGCTGTGGGCAGGGCACATTGCTCGCAGGACTGACGGCCGTTGGGGCGGTAAGGTCCTGGAGTGGCGACCGCGTACCGGGAGATGCAGTGTTGGGAGGCCCCCCACAAGATGGACCGACGATCTGGTGAAGGTCGCGAGAAGCCGCTGGATGCGGGAGGCGCAGGACCGATCGCTTTGGAGATCTTAGGGGGAGGCCTATGCCCAGCAGTGGGCGTCTCTCGGCTGAATTGATGAATTTATCTTAACAAGTACACATTTTTATCATTACAATACATTAATCAAAAATCAATTTCATAATTAATGTACGGCTAATTTTTTTTTACTTATCTAATGTCAAAAGCTTAATAGTGAAATATTAATTAGATTAATAAACAATAACAATATTAATGTCAATTTTATGTCTAAATTATACATGTCAGAATTAAACAGACACTTGAAAATATTAATTTATATAAAAACGTTTTTCAGTAAGCCATTTCTTGAGTCATCATCATCATCATCAGCCGGAAGACGTCCACTGCTGAACATAGGCCTCCCCCTTTGAACTCCACGACGGACGACATTGCGCCAGCTGCATCCAGCGGCCGCCCGCGACTCGGACGATGTCGTCCGT